TCTCTCTCTCTCTCTCTCTCTCTCTCTCTCTCTCTCTCTCTCTCTCTCCACCCCTCCTAACTCTTATTCTTGGTCTCATTAGCCCTCAAGCCTAAAATTCTCATAGGTCCTAGTGAAATCACACAGCTCAGGGTAGAGCACATAAAACAGTATGCTAAGGATTTTATCAGTAAAGAAGAATAAAATCTTTGGAAATTAAAGATGGGAGCACATTGAAAGTGGAAGAAGGCTGGTGTTCGAAGGAGAACCCCCCCATACCCAACCATATCAGTGAACAATGACATCTTCCTAACGTGAATTAAAGACGTGGTGAGTCTGTGAATGGGTATCACTCGTCTAATGAGAACACCAGACATCCACACATAGGAAATGTAAAGAAAGTGAAACCCTTGTAAAATTTTATATATTATCCCTTTCACCAAAATATGAAAACCAGATTAGCAGGAGGAAAGGCAAAGCCCTTCTATAAATAAATATGAAGAAACACTGGACCAAAAGGAGACATTTGTTTAAATACAACGTCCAAGAGAGAAAAATCGTCAAATAAACAAGAGCCCACATTTTCGCCTGGACAACTCAAAACGTTCTGTGGTACCAAACTTCACAGTGGAATTCTGCCAACCTGCCCCTGGGTGACGACTTCTGAACTGACTGTTCTTCAGCATTTATTTGGAATGATAGATAGCAGGAACTGCAGATGTGGAACCTTCTTGTGAGGACATGTCGACATTAGGAAGACATTTCTATTCAGGGCCTGCTGGAATCTTCAGGTTAGGCTTGGCCTAGATTTTTTAGTTCCTTGCTGCTTTTCTGCCTACTTTGGTTTTCCTTCCACCTTCCCATGCATCTGGACTCACTGTTTTTCTGAAACCACAAACAATTAGCCATCTGCAGAGTCACTAGTGAACTATCAAGGAAAAAATACCCGTAGGCTAATGACCCCTTCTAGAGGTCTTGCTGAAAATTGGAGCCTGCAGATCACAGGCCTGCCACACACCCAGCGACCAGGAGTATGCAGTAAGAGCAAAGGGAGACAAAACACATCGGATTTAAACTTGATGGTTCAATAAAAATGATGGCTCTCTGGTCTTAGAAAAAAAAACCTAGACAACACAGACACGGGTGTGGTGTGGTGTGTGTGTGTGTGAAAGAGAGAGACAGAGATGACAGAGAGACAGAGACAGGGAGACAAAGACATACAGAGAGAGAGAGAGAGAGAGAGAGAGAGAGAGAGAGAGAGGAGAGAGACACTCTGGTGGTGTTGCTGAGAACTACAGATTGAATCTGAAAATTGGGTGAGAAGCCTGGGTGGAGAAGCCTGGTAAGATTTGAGTCGTTTACAAGCCATAGTCTCTTGTGCAAACCACCCAACCACTTAGAGCTGCTATGTCTTAACAGAGAGACAAGAGTAGTGAGCTCTCTAAACAAGTCCCTGCACAGAGTGCTGTCTAGAACCTGGGATAGATTCCACCATCTTCCATTCCCTCCCCTTGCTGTTCCTTCCCATCTTTGGAATCGGTCTTATGTAAATCCGATTTTTAATTCTTGACTTTGACCCTCCAGCCCACAGGAAGCTATGGGACCATGATGCTCAGACTCCTGGAAGAGTACGCCTTGGCTCTGTGTGGTCTCCTTCCTCATAAATGATATCTAGTTATATCACAGAGCAGGAGCTAGCACCCCATTCTACACTACTTGGCAAATCAGTGTCCTGTAAGAAGGTAAGTTAGTAATACTTGTGATGTTTCCCAGGTCTTCTGCAAGCACTCCCGTGTGTCCCCTGGAGTGATCCCACAGCACCCAATGCAACTGGCTC